ATGTTCTTCACTGTGTGTGTGTACTGCATGTTCACTATATGAACCTCAACTCTAGACCTCTCCTGTCTACTCGGGATCTCTGAATGCAGAACAACACTACCACAGTCATAAAGTAGCCTACTAAAGTCATTATGATGCATATAATAAGCATACTTTAAGTACAGCGGAAAATAACATGCACAATATTGTAAGGAATCATGATTAATATTAGGAAATATATCAACATTAGTGGATGAAAATGTCTTCTGTTCCACTCTTGTTTTAGTGCATGACAGTTGATTGTTTAAAGGGGACCTATCATGCAAAATGCACTTTGTGATGTCTTTTATACATACATATATGTCCCCGGTGCGTTGGGGAACTCACGCAGCGTCAGAAAATAAAACCCTCTCTATTTTCCTCCGTACCCAAATCTTTTAAAAACGGGTGCACAACGAGCAGATACAGATTTCATCCGAACTGACATCAAATCGGCAGTGGACCTACAGAAAGTTGCTATCAGAAACAATGCCTGACGTGTTTTGGGCGTCTTTGTTTACATTAGCAAGCCTCGCTAACACTCAGAGCTAACCTGTACTGAAGAGCACATGTGTTTAAAAAGCAGGAAATAACAAAATAACTCACCTTGTGATAAACCTGCAAGAGAAAAATTATTTGAGCTTGTTGTGGCGACCCCGCACTCACACAACAGGAAATAATGAAACAGTGAGGAATCAATAAAACACAAACACAGACATAGCTGATCAGTAATTATTATTTAGTTGTTGCAACAAACAAACAATAATGCGGAGTACATCACCTGCTGCCACAGCAGCCAATCGCGGAAATGCCCCCCGTTAGTAGCAACAATCATACAGCATATTGTAACGTTCCCCAAGATGAGTCGGAGACAGGCTTGTAGTTATTAGGCTTTAATAACTAGTAGTTGAAGACAGATGATAACAGGTCAAGTATACTTCGTGGGTTCTACCGCACACTAACTTATTTCCTAAACCAACCACAAGATATAGCACTGTCCACGTCACAACTCCCCGCCCTCCCCCGTCCGCTCCACCAACCACAGGCCCGCACCTCAGCCACCACCACGGTGCAGCTCTATGATTGGCAGAGAGACGGGGGATGCCTAAGTGACACCCTGAGTAGCCTATCAGGATCGCTACACTACCCCCCCACTACAAAGTTCCTCGCCCACGAGGAACATATAAAACACAGTACAAAACACTCCCCCCCACCCTCTCCAGCTCACTGCAGGGACTACCCCACTGGCTGTCCCCAACCAAACCAGTAGCCTTTGAAAACACAGAAAACCCACCACAATCCCAGCCCTCTATAGTGTCTACCCCCCCACTACAAAATTCCTCGCCTACGAGGAACAACTAAACACAGCCCCACACTACACCTACACACTGAACTTTGACTAGGAAGAGCTGGGTGGACTACCATCCCTTCCAGTGAGACCAGGGCGCATTCTTGCCCTCTACAGGAACTGGGGGGTCTCACTATAACCTTACTACCACACAAAGTCTCTGAAACGACCCGGGGGTCGTGTCTGCCTTCTCGGCAGGGGGGCTGGGGTTGCCGGATCTGGCCCAGGCGCCGAAAGACTGGGGGGACTCTCAGTCCTTGATGGGGGACTGCTGCTCTGTCCGCCGGGGGGTCTGCGGAGGGATGTCGATGGGACGTCTGTGTGTCCCGAGGTTCCTTCGGTCTGTGGGGAAGCGACGCCTCTGTACGGAGCCAGCCTGTCTCTGTGGAGCACCACTTTTCTCCCCTTTGGTGGCAGCTGCACCCTGTAGACCACTTCCCCCACCCTCTCCAGTACTCTGCAAGGACCCACCCACTGACTGTCCAACTTTGGGCACCGGCCTTTCGTTCGTTGTGGGCTGTAGACCCAAACCAGTTCCTCGGCCCGGAAATGCTGCCCTCTGGTCCTGATGTCGTAGTTCCGCTTCTGTCTCACCGCAGCACTTTTCTGCTGCTCGCGGGCAAAGGCATGAGCGGACTCAAGCCGGTCCTGCAGCCTCCTTGCGTACTCAGGACCAGGAGGCGTGTCCAGGGAATCTGGTGGCCGACCAAACGCCAACACCGCAGGGGTTCGAAGCTCTCTCCCCAGCATGAGGAGGGCCGGCGAACAGGCTGATGACTCCTGGACTGCAGACCGACATGCCATGAGCACCAGGGGCAGATGCTCGTCCCAGTCGCGCTGATGCCGCGACGTGAGGATGGCCAGCTGCTGTCCCATGGTGCGATGAAATCTCTCTACTAGTCCGTCGCTCTGTGGTCGCAGGGGGGAGGTGCGTGTTTTGTGAATGCCCAGTTGAGAGCACATGGAGGCGAACACCCGGGACTCGAAATTCCTCCCCTGGTCACTGTGCAGGGTCTCCGGTACTCCAAACCGGCTGAACATGCCGGACACCAAGGCATCCGCGACTGTCTCTGCTTCTTGGTCAGGGAGCGCATACGCCTCTGTCCACTTTGTGAAGTAGTCTATGGCTGTGAGAACGTAGCGGTTACCCCTGTTTGACAAGGGTAGCGGCCCCACCACATCAACCGCTACTCTCTCCATCGGGTCCCCGACGGGAGATTGTTGCAGCAGAGGATGGGAACGCCCCGAGGGGCCCTTCCGTGCCGTACACGGATCACAGCGGCGACAGAAGTCTTCGACATCCCTCCTGCACTGTCCCCAGTAGCAGCCCTGACGAAGGCTGCGGAGGGTCTTAGTGACTCCAAAGTGACCAGAGCCTGCCGTGCCATGCATGGCCTTGAGTACGACCTCTTGCAGGACCCTAGGAACCACCACTTGCCACCTCTTCTCCCCGTTGCTGGCTCCTTCCACGCCCGCTGCAATACGCCCTGACACAGACGTAGAGACTCAAACTGAGACCACAGCCCCTTTGTTGCTTTGGAGAGCGCTGCCACTTCCTCCCACGGTGGCCGCTAGTGTGACTCAACCCACTGCAGTAAAGGCTGAAGAACGGCATCCAGCTCTTGCTGTTGCTTCCACTCTGACGCATCCAGTGTCTGGAGCTCCCTGCAGATAGCCTCTTCCACTTGCTGCGCTGCCGCACAGACGATGTCCTCCTCCAGCAGCTCCTTTTCCCGAGTCTCTCTCTTCTCGCAGTAGTGGCATCCGCCGCCGGCACACGGCCGCCGGGAGAGGGCGTCTGCATTGGTGTGGCGCACCCCAGCCCGGTTCTCCACCCTGAAGTCGAACGATTGGAGCTCTTCTAGCCACCTGGCGACCTGCCCTTCTGGCTCTTTGAACGTCATGAGCCACTGTAATGCAGAGTGATCCGTCCTCACCGTGAACGCTTGCCCGCACAGGTAGTACTTAAAATGCTTGATGGACAGCACCACTGCCAAAAGTTCTCTGCGGGTAACGCAGTATCGTCGCTCCGCTTTGTTGAACGCCCGGCTGAAGTATGCCACCACCCGCTCCCCCTCTGGTGTAGTCTGGGATAGCACTCCGCCTACCCCAACGCCGCTAGCGTCGGTGTCCAGGGTGAACGGCAGCCGGGGGTTGGCTGGGACGAGGACCGGGGCTTCGCTCAGGGCACGCCGAAGGCCGTCAAACGCTGCTTGACATTGTTCAGACCACAGGAACTCCCTGTCCTTCTGCAGCAGCTGGAACAGGGGTGCGGCAATGCAGGCAAAACCCCGTACAAACTTCCTGTAGTACGAGGCCAGGCCCAGGAAACTCTTCAGCTGTTTCTGGTTGCGAGGATTTGGCCAGCCTGTGACCGCCTGCACTTTCTCGTGCAGGGTGCCGATGCCCTCCCCCCCACACTTTGTGGCCCAGGAAGGTGACCTCTCTCTGTAGGAAATGGCACTTATCTGGATGTAGCTTCAACCCAGCGGCTCTGATCCTCTCCAGCACCACTTTTAGCGATCCTAGGGCCGCCTCAAACGAGCTGCCATGCACCAGGATGTCGTCCAGGTAAACCAAACACTGTTGGCGGGGAATCCAAGACAGCACCCTGTCCATCAACCGCACGAAGGTGGCCGGGGCATTACACAGCCCAAAACTGAGGACCTTGAACTGCCATAGTCCTCGGCCGGTGCAGAAAGCCGTTTTTGGTCTGGCCTCTGGGGCAAGAGGGACTTGGTAATACCCGCTGCGGAGGTCCAAGGAAGAGAACCACGACGACCCTGCGACCAGGTCCAGGGACTCATCGATGCGGGGAAGGGGGTATGAATCCTTCTTGGTGACCCCGTTCACCGGTCTGTAGTCTGAGCACAGCCGCCAGCCCCCTGTCTTCTTTGGGACCATGACTACCGGTGCTGCCCACGGGCTGTCTGAGGGCTCGATGATGTCTGCCTGCAGCATGCTCTGCACTGCCTCGTCGCAAGCCTGCTGACGAGCCAGGGGAAGTCGCCGCGGGCGACACCTGATGGGCCGCGAGTCCCCCGTATCGATCTCGTGTTCCACCAGATGCGTTCGGCCCACCTCCTCCTCCTTCATGGCGAAACTGCTCTGGAACTCTAGCAGGAGCTGCCCCAATTGCTCCTGCTGCTCGGGATCCAGGCCGCCACAGTTCTTCCGCCACACCTCCAATACTGCAGACCGAGCCTCTTCTACCTCCGTCTGGGGTACTTGGGGGGGGGGCTGTGCTCGGGTGGCGCAGCCCGGGGGTGACAGGTGGGGAATTGTCCTGAGTGGGCGTCACCGTGGGTACAGGAAGGGAGGGAGGGTTTGCTTCCGTGTCTAGGGTACTCACGGTGGGTGTCGGGGGTCTCCCCGCAGGCTCAGCAGGGTTGTGGACACGGGTCATAGTAATTACAGGCCCCCCCCCAAAACTCACTGTGCCGGCTTGAAGATCCAGGAGGCAGCCCGTCGCCTTCAGAAAGTCCAAACCCAGAATGCACGGGTCCTGTACATCCGCTATCCACACGGGGTGCCGCACTTCCACTCCCCCCACCGACACAGACACCACTCCTCTTCCTTTCATAGCCGCCAACTCTCCGGTGACTGTGCGCAGACGCACCGCTGTCGGCTCGAACATAGTCCCACTGGGCAACACCTCTGCTCTCACCAGGGTTACTGTAGAGCTTGTGTCCACCAGTGCATCGCAGGGCACCCCCTCCACCTCGACAGGAACATAGCAGGAGTCCCCACCAGCACGGCCCACCGCGACGACAGGCTCCACTCCGGTGTTGTCATCTTTTTCAGGAGGGCGTAGAGTCTGGCTCCCCCTGCGGATGTCTGAGTCGGTGGCAATAAAGCTGTGGTTTGTTTGGGGAGTCTTCGGGCTTGGTTCCACATATCCTCCTCTATGCGGGCCCCCCGTCGTTTCCCTGGTGTTCGCCGAGCCTTGGTGCAGTCTCTGGCAAAATGTCCTGGCTGACCACACTCCCAGCAGACTCTGGTGTCTGGTCTGTGTGTTGGCTGCAGAGAAACAGCCCTTATCATCTCTGTCAGCTCCGTAACCCATGCAGGCTTCTCCTCCTCCCTGCAGCTCCTCACCGCCGGCGCCGCCGGCACTCCGCCGCTCCTAGCAGCTCCACTCCACACGTTCTCCCTCTCCACAGCCATCTCCAAGGCCGCCTGTAAGGACTGTGGATGCTGCAGCTGTACCTCGACCCTCAAGTCTGCAGGCCGGAGGGCCCTGATGAACTGATCATGTGCCAGCTCACTCTGTACTCCGGGTGGCATGTGTGCATACGCCCGCCGCGTCAGGCTCTCCACGTTGTTAGCCAGTGCACGCAGCGTCTCTCCAAACTCTCTACAGCGGTTACTCAACTCGTTCCGGAGCAGCTCTGGCGGGAAACACTGTCCAAACCGCCTCTTCAAAGCCCCTGCTAACGCTTCATAGTTGAGCCGGTCCACAGGGCTAAGTAGTAGCAGACATGAAAGAGCCTCTTCTGTGAGGCACAAAGCTAGCTGTAGTGCTTTAGTCTCTACTGACCACCCCCCGGCATGAGCAAGCAGTTCAAATTGGGCATGGAAAGCCTCCCAGTCTGCCTTACCCGAGAATTTGGGTGTTTTCACTGACCCGGCGGCGGCTGCTGCGGGTTGATGGGCGCCGCCATTGTTGTTTACCTCCAGCTTGGAAATGGCGCGAACTGCCGCAGAAGACGGAGACATTCCCGCGTCTCTAGCCATCCTCACCGCCGACTCTCTCAGGCGCTCTCTCACCTCCCGTGCACTCATGAACTCCTCTCTCATGTCCTTCGACCACCCGCATGCTCCATCTTCCTCTTCATCACTACTGTGTTCCTGCTTCACTCCCATCTTGCTGAACTTATCCATCCCCGCTAGCTTACCGGCTAGCTCCGTGACGCAGTTACGACTCTCGTCCGGATAGACGTCCCTTGTTCGAAAAGTTCACTTCTGACACCAATGTAACGTTCCCCAAGATGAGTCGGAGACAGGCTTGTAGTTATTAGGCTTTAATAACTAGTAGTTGAAGACAGATGATAACAGGTCAAGTATACTTCGTGGGTTCTACCGCACACTAACTTATTTCCCAAACCAACCACAAGATATAGCACTGTCCACGTCACAACTCCCCGCCCTCCCCCGTCCGCTCCACCAACCACAGGCCCGCACCTCAGCCACCACCACGGTGCAACTCTATGATTGGCAGAGAGACGGGGGATGACTAAGTGACACCCTGAGTAGCCTATCAGGATCGCTACACTATATAGCCACTGCAATGAACACACACACATTTTCCCTAAACATGTTTAACGCACACACATTTTATCATGCAGCCTACCACATAAATGTCACATGTTTTTCTCTCTGAAAGCTATACTTGTATATGTTTAAACGTCATAATCTCATGACATCTTTAGGATTAGTTAACTAACAAAGGTTAACTGTTTTTATAACCTGAGGCCTTCTCTGAACTTCCTCTAACCTCTGTGTCGGCTCACTTAAAATGAATACATCTATTGATAATTCAGAACGACCATTGTCTCTCTAACTGTGTGACCCAACCATAGACTGTATATATAAATGGACGTAGTGTCCGTGACGTCACCCATAAGATTCTGCAGAGTTGCCGTGAAGCCCTAGGCGGAGTCGGCCACTAACGGCTTGACAGCAACGTCAGAGTCTAATGCCGCCTGCTCCAAATAAGCGCAAAGAGGCGGAGCCGAGGCGGGACCTGCTGCCTCCGTACTGGAAGTAAACAGATCTAGCTCAGGCTAAGAAGCTAAGCTAACATGAAACACATGCATACCAAGTTACTGCTAACAGTGTAGTTCCCCTATATAAACGTTACATTCATAATCAAATGAGACAATCTGCAAGATAATTAGCTATATTTTGTTATCTTAATGCTTGTCATTCACACGTTAAGAAAAGAAGTACCGATACAGAGCAGAACAATTGTGGCGATGTTCAGCTTAATAAGCCTTGTTCAACATAATTTATTTAGCTAATACTACAGCAGGCGAACCAAGTCTGCGTTTCGCTGCATTCCTTGATCTCCAGTTATAACGACGGACTCCACCGCCCGGACCTAACGGAGCCGCAGTGGGCTAGCTCCGGGACACCGGCTGGAGCTAGCCCCCTGCGGCTCCGTTAGCTCCGGCGGCCACCACTGGGATAATTGGGTCCCCTATTAACATTTGCTCCCGTTTAGCATTATGGGCGTCATAGCCATAGACTATAAAGTCTTACCCAAGGCTGAATCATAAACTAAAATGTATATGTATGCATAAAGGGTTACGTCCTTAGCTGGCTAATAAGTAACAAGCTAAGCTACCAAGCACACAAACACCTGCGAACGGGGTTAACATGTATAATATTATCATTTTAGACTTCTTGGAAGTTCTGTTAGTACATTCAAGCGCACAGCACGACATTTGAATTGTCTGGCATTTGTAACAATATTCCCTAAAAGGCACAATCACCACGAACACGGCTAAAGCTAAAGGGTCAAGTATGACTATGACTAACTAACGTTGTAGCCTCTATGGTTGTAGCCAGAGGGCTCTGGTTGTAGCCATCTCTAGGGCTCTGGTTGTAGCCTAGCAGAGTGGACAAGTTGCTGTTAGCTGACAGTGAGGCATGTACGTGTCCATCAAAGTGACCACGCCCTAATTTATGCAAAAACTTTAAGACCTAATATAAATAAAAGGGTCGTGTTAGAAAACAATTCACTCACAGATCCATAATCATGAAGGTGGAATCTAACTATATCGATAATAAAAATGTATGGAGCCAGGGGTAGAAACATGTTTTTTTCTGCTGTAAAGTTGGGCATTTTAACATGGGGGTCTATGGAAATAGCTCCTTTCTGCAGCCATCACCTATCGGCCAATATATGAACTGCAGTGTGTGGCACTTCCGTATTGGCGTCCCGGCTCTTCCCCCAGAGTTTGCCGCTTGGACCCAACTCAGTAACACACATCATATGGAATACCATGTGATCTTTAATGAATATCAGAAATATGCTGTATTAAACATTCTGCTATAATAAGCTCCATACTATTTCTGAAATAATCCTTGACGTGGTTTAAACAGGATGGCGTTTTATCACAACCGAATTTAACTTTATCTCCGGTAGAATTCTGATCAGGCATTAGCTCCGCCTCCTCTTCTTTCTTTTTTTCAAGCTAAGGACCCATGATCCGCGTTTCTCTAACAGGGCTGCAAAAGAGGGGTTTGAGCAGTATGAGGGATGGCTACAATGGGTGATTTGTTTGGTATTTTGAAAAAAAAAATTCACAGACATGTTTTATATAGGTATGGCCCTACAATATATGTTTCAAATAGTTTCTACTGATTCAATATATGTTTGAAACAGTAGAGCTTTAACTAAAGCTCCACTGTCTAAAATTGTCAATGACACAAATTGTGTCTGCTCAGTTTCAAGAGCAATATATCTGGGGATGATAATGATAGCTGAAGGGAGCAACAGTGAGGGTCCAGCAATACTTTCAACAAATGGCAGGTAAAGCCCACAACATTGCAGGAACATGATCTGACCCCCCACCTGCTGTCTCACTGACCCGCAAGACCATGTACATGACACATTTAAAAGGATTACTCTGAAGTTGGACTGTTCAGTCTGGAGTGAAACATGGGCTCTCTCTCTCATTCTGTTCAAGGATATTTGGAGCAGTGATGTGACTGGAGCACACCTGACATGTTTGTGGATAGCCTATCCCACCTGTAGCCAAAGGTCACCTTATAAGATGGTCATTTCATTGAGATTTCCACTACATTAATGGAGTGCTTTATTTGAACTATGGAACATCCAGTTCAGTTCATTTGGTTCTCTGCAAACTCATGTCTATAAACATATACTGATTATGAATGCAGAATCCGTAGGCAACAGGACAATATTTGGTATCTGAAGTATTCTGGTTTCCCATGCAACCCCCGAACACACAGAGTGGTGCAGTGATGATGTACTTTTGTAGGCAAGCCCAGAAGTTAGCATTGCAAGGACTCCCTCGACAAAAAGCCATGGCATTTTTTTCATTGGATTTTGTTGCTATTGCATAAGCTCTGTTTCAAACACACTTTTATAATGCTGACTATGTTTTGTTCCGTAAGGATATTCTCCACATTTAAAAAAACGGTTGTGATTGTTGAAGCGTATATCGTTAGGCTATAAACAAACTACATCAGCGTATTAGGCTAAAGTTTTTAGACACAGAGAAGCTTAGATTTACTGGGGTATTTTATGTCGTAGGTCAATACATGGAAATCTCTTAAGATTGTGTTAACCACATACCTTATTTCAGGCATATAACAACAGACATGTTAAAAAAAGTTGACTTCAAGACAAGGGAACTGGAAGAGGTAGCTAATTTTCGGGTTTTAGGACTTATTCCTTCACCACTCAACTGGCTAATGTTTGACAAGGGTTTACCTCGATAGTAACTCAAAATTAGCTTACCAGGTCATAGATATACTGTATTTTTTCTACTCAAATTAGCATAAAATAGAAGAGGAAGTCTTATTCAAGATATCTGCACCGGAACCCGGACAAAAATCCAATGGGTGTCAACTTTGGGTGAGAACGAATGTACTCATGCTTAACCTTGAGCACCAGCTGCTCTATCTTGTGGAACAACAGTTTCGAATGGCAGGTTGTAAATGAGTTGAATGGAAGAACAAGATAGTATGTGACCTGTTTTCTACTGACAAGTTTACAAAATGTGGTTTACTTTGCTCATTAGGAGAGTTAGAACTCTACCAGCAGTTTTGAGATGTACCATAGGGAGCTAGTTCTGGGTCATGAATGTATCGTCATGTGAACTCTGGATGGCAGCAGAGTTTATCTGCCAGACGGGCCGCAGCGTCTGAGCTCTAGGCAGAAACTCAGATGAACTACGGCACCTTAATCTGGATTATCTGATGAATTAGAAGCCGGGTCGCTTGTGTAATCCCGTTGACAAAGTTGTGGCAGATTTTCAGCCATTTGATGGTAGCCAAAGTATCCAGGCCAGGCATCCCAACATGGGCCAGACTGACTGAAGCAGTACCATTTTTTTTTAAATTACCGTTTTTTGTTAGTTTTAGGTTTTCTGTGATTTGTCCACACTTTGGTGGAACTAAGGTCTAGGGGAAACTACACACTTTAAAGTCAAGTCAAAATGATACCAATTAATTTTTTATTTCATAAAGTTCACAAGGTTTTTTTATTTTTCCATCTCAAACCCTAATATGAGAGTAACTATTAAAGCTGTTAAATAAATATTGGATAAACAGTACTTCCATCTAAAAAGTATCGTAGTTTAAAGTAACATAAATGACTATACGTTTTTGTAGGCCTTGAAGTACCTCTAATTGTCACGATCTGTCTGGTTGTTGTTTTGTCTTGTCTTTTTCTATCTTTGGGTTTCCTGTTTTATTTTGTAAAGTGTTCACCCCCGTTTCCTGCCTGTTGCTTTCTGTCTGTTTTCCCTCCCTGATTACCCGATTGTGTTCACCTGGTGCCTCTGTGTTTTCTCCTTCCTCCTCACCTGTGTCTTGTTTGTGTGATTAGTCTTGTGTGTATTTAAGTTCTGGTTTTTCTGTCTGTCTTTGTCGGTTCATCTTTCGTTGTTGACTGTGTTCACCGGTGAGTGTTCTGGCTGTCCTAGTTCTATATTTCACTATCCTTGAAATAAAGGTATTATCAGTTTATCTGCATTTGGGTCCTGCTTCCTTCGCTCTACCGTGACAAAACGAACCGACCAAGAAATGGACCCAGCAGATGATCCATTTGAGGTGGAACTACAACATTTTTCCTTTTATTTGGCTTGCTGCTATGATTGGTGGAAGGGAGCGTCCAGTGTTCGGCAGAGGGAGGCCGCTCTGGTAGAGGCGCACCGGTTGGCTATGGAGAAACCAGACTTGGTGAAGTTCTT